AACACCAGCGTAGTCATCCAGCAGAGAGATCGGGAGCACCTGCCCCGGAGCCTGTGTGGGAGGACCGTCCACGGCCGCCCGCCGCCCTTCTACAAAGACAGCCTGACCACGGGGCCTTCGCACGCGTCCCAACCAGGCAAACCCGATGGGGCAGCTCTGGAAAATGTCCGCGTGGCATCGGCACCCCTAACGAGCTCCGAGGAAGCGCTCCTGACGGCGCCCCAAGTCGGAGCAAGGATGGTTTGGACGAGAGAAGAGTGACGATGATGCCAATCCGGTTGGGCCCTGGCTGGCCGTGTGACCCGGGCCAGCCACGTCACCTCTCTGAGTTTCTACTTCCTTGTCTGTAAAGCGGGGCCCTCGCCACCCACCTCGGAGGGCCGAGGTGTAGACAAAGGAACCAGCACGCTTTATACGTGCCATACGTGGCGACTACGGTCGTCAGGACCCCGCCCCGGCACAAGCAAGGACACGGGCTCGGCCTTGGCTCTGCCTGCACAGCTGGCTTTGGGGACGGGGGTGGCACGTGCCAGGGGGCGAACCACAGGGGATGCCACTCACCAGCAGATAGATGCTGCTCGCGATGGCCAGGCAGGCTGTCCCCAGGATGGTGGCAAGCAGGAAGCCGGCAGGTACCGAGAGCCTGGGGAGGGGTGGCGGGGAGGTGAGAGGGGGTCTGCGGCCCCAGGCCTTGGCCTCAGGACGGGGCCAACTGTAGGTGTGCGGGCCCCGGGACCCTGCACGGAGGACACACCCAGTCCTGCCCAAGGCTGGGTCCCGTAACCTGCTCTCTGCTTCCGCTGGTACCTTAGCAACTCTCGGGGTGCTGGCGCTTGGCCCCCGCCACCATGCCAGAAGGAAGCCGTGTAACAGCGGGGGCCTGTGTTTGCAGCCTCCCCGGCCGTTAAGCCCCAGACACTGGCGCGGGGCCGTGAGCGGGGCCGCCCGGGAGAGCCGGTCGGCTCGGACCCTATTCTTGATTCAAGCTGCGGAGGGTGGAATAAGTCCTTATGCAGCATGAGGTGACACACACAGGTGTGGGGAGCCTCTGGCAGGACCCAGGACCCGGGCTTTGGTCTGGAAAAGTCTCTGACTCGGTGGAAGCCAGGTGGGTGTGGGAACTTGCTCACCCCAGGTGCAGGATGGCCCGGACGTAGTAGTTCCTGGAGAGAGGTCCCAACACCTTCACCACTTTGGTCAGGTACTTCTGTCCGCTGGGCACACGGGGAGAGAAGACAGACCGTGTCCTGCTCAGCAGCCCCCACCCATCCCACCCCAGCGTACCCCAGCTCCTCCCCCCCCAGGGACCGAGGGGCCGCGGAAGCCGGGCGCGCTCCGGCCTGCCTGCCCAGGAGGAGCGGCCTCCCCTGGTGGGTCGGGCCCGGCCCCCAGAGCAGGGCGGCACACTCACCATCTCTCCATGGTGGACCCCTTTCTCCTCTTCCCGCGGGGGTACTCCAGCAGGCAGATGAAGACACCCGCTACGCTGACGTGCCGTTAAGGAACAGCCGAGCTCAGCCCGGGGGCCAGAGTGAGCCCCCTGTGCCGACGAGAAAACAGAGAGGTGCAGCTGCTGCCTGGAGGTCACACAGCTGGGAAACAGCCGGGCAGGGTTTGGACAGGCCTGGCCACTCTGCTGCCCGTCCTGAGCCCTCGGTCCCCTGGCGCCTGCCTCGGCTGGCCGGTCACAGCCGGGCAGACCCCGGGCTGGCCAAGGGGGACAGCTGATAGAAAGGGGGACACAGAGGGGGTCCCCGGGATCCCCGAGGCCTCAGTGCCGGCCCTCGGGGCTGCTGGCACCTGCCAGCCCTCACCAGGCCTCGGGCCTCGGGCAAGTTGCCTCCCCGCCCCGAGCCTTGGCCTCGCGCGAACCGCGCATGAGCCGGATCCTGCCGACCCCGCCGCCGCTGAGGGGCTGAGGGCCCCAGGGCTGCGGCAGCATTCTGCCAACCGAGAAGTGCTGTGCTGTGCCCCCCGGGGGCGGCACCGTCCCCACCCCGAGCCCAGCAGCACCGCCCCGGCCGTGTCCCGGCATCTGCGGAGGCAGGATACATGGAGTACGCGCCGAACCACCAACTGGTAAACTGGCCGGCAGTGGCCACGATGCCCCCTGTGACAAGGACTGTGGGCAGAGGAGAGGCAGGTCAGCGGGGCTGGCGGCTGCAGGGGCTCCGGCCGCCTCTCCCTGTGGCCCCTCCCTCGGCGAGGCCACTGGTCCGTCACCCGTGCTCTGCTCCGCGACAACACGTCTGCCCGTGAAGGGGACACAGGCGGGCGCGGACCTCTAGAAGCAACATGTGAGCGGGGACAGGGGCAACGGAGCAGCGGGAGCCGGTGGGTGGGGTCCGGACCATACCAGTCCCCGGGGCTCTGTCACCCCCTTGCCACCTCCAGCGTCTGCTCCTGTGGACAGCCGTGCCCGGCTGCTCTCCACCTCGATTCCAGCTGCGGGACCCGGGCACCCTGCCCCCACCCCCCGCAGCCGAATCCGTCAGTCTTCCTGTCTGCGGTCCTGCTTCCCGCCGGCTGCTCTGGGAGGCACGACCCGGATCTTTTCTCCCCCGGAATTACTTTTTGGCACCTTTTCTATTGTGATAACGTACACAGAACATGAAAGGTTCCATTTCAGCCATTTTAAAGTACACGGCTCGATGGGGCGCCTGGGTGGCTCCGTGGGTTAAGTGTCCGACTTTGGCCGAGGTCTCGATCTCGCAGTCTGTGAGTTCGAGCCCCGTGTCGGGCTCTGTGTTGACGGCTCAGAGCCCGCCGGCTGCTCCGGATTCGGTCTCCCTTTCTCTCTGCCCCTCCCCCGCTCACACGCTGTCTCCCTCAAAAATATTTTTTTTTTTAATTTTTTAACGTTTATTTATTTTTGAGACAGAGACAGAGCATGAACGGGGGAGGGGCAGAGAGAGAGGGAGACACAGAATCGGAAGCAGGCTCCGGGCTCCGAGCCATCAGCCCAGAGACCGACGCGGGGCTCGAACCCACGGACCGCGAGATCGTGACCTGAGCCGAAGTCGGACGCCCAACCGACTGAAAAATATTTTAAATAAACACTAAAATAAAACAAAGTACACGGCTCGGTGGCCTAAGTCCACACACCCTATCGTGCCCACCTGCAGAACTCCAGCAGCTTGCCGAGGGACGAGTCCGACGCAGGACAGTGTGCGGGCATGATCCGGACGACTTTACGGGCGCTCCCCACGTGCCCCCCTCCACCCCAGAAGCCCCCCGTGCCCCGTCCAGTCAGGGCCGGCCTCTGCGTCCGGCTCCTTCCGTTCAACAGCTTGTCAAGGCCGTTCAGGTGGCTTCCTGCCGTAGGTATCGACCACGACGGATTTCTCCACCCTCCCGCCTTTGGGACATTTTGCTTGCTTCCAGGTTTGTCCCGTTATGAATGAGCTGACACAGCGTTTAATAGTTTCCAATCGTTTGTAAGAGTTTTAACAGTTTCCACCAGTTCAAGCCGACAGCAAACCGACCAGCCTGGACTTGCCGCGGCCGATTCGAAGTTCCTCTTTCTCTCTAACAAGCCCCGTGTCACGTTTCCTGCCTCCAGCTACCTTGCTCAAACTTTAAATTTTACAATTTCTCTTCCCGGGTCACGTGTGGATTCCAGCTTACCCTCAGCCCCACCCACAGACCTCCCGTGGTGGTAAATGATAAATCATTCACCCTTCCAACCGGCCACAGCCTGGTCAGCGTTCTGGGCTCAGCGACACCCCCCGCCCTGCTGACGGGCATCCCTCGGGGGGTCCCCCGGGAGTCAGGCTTTCTCTGGGCACCTCAGATTTTATTCCACCGCCTTCTGGCAGTGATTGTCGATGATGAGTGTGTACTCGGCCTGACTCGGCCTGTACTTTTCTCCTCTGGTAAATGACAAGATTTTCTTTAATGGTCTGTATTTTCATTACAGCGTGTCCAAGAAGGGATCTGTTTTCCGCTATTCTGCGTTCTGCTTTCTCCTTCGATCTGAGACTCTCTGTTTCTGCAAAACGCTCACCCGTTACCCTTGGGTGTTGCCTCCCTGTGTCCTTCCTTCGGAGCATGACTGTCTTACCTGGGGACCTGCCGCCACCCGCGGGGCGGGTCCCCCCCCATCCACCAGACCCCTCCCCCCAACCTGCTTCCCATGGGGGTCCCCTGCCCCGCCCACCCTGCCCACAGGGCAGGTCTCCCCGCACCACTGCGCACGGCTGGCCTCTATTTAATAACCCATCCGTGTCTCTGGGCTGCGAGCGCGAGGGTCCCCCAGCCCCGTCTTACGGGCCCCTAACCCTCTCGTCTTTAGATAGCGTTCAATTCATCCACTGACCTGTAGCGACTTTATTTCTTGACATCCTGCATTAGCTCACTTTCTACACTGTCCTGTTTTTGCTGTGTAATTCTCTATTCCTTTCCCTCCTTGAACAGTTGTGCCCGCAGTCGTGGGCGTAAACACGCGCTCACATTCGCGTGTCTTCCAGAAGGCACCGCAGCCCCAGCCCCTGGAGGTGTGTGTGCTGCCTCTCCCCGGGCCGGGGCTTCCTCCCACGGCGGGCGCGTGCGGGCTGCTGGCGGGGCCTGCCTTCCTGCAGCGGTCGGGGATAGACGTCCTTGCAGGGAAGTTACACACTGGCCTCTGCTGGGGGCCTCCGGGTCTCTCTAGTCCTGGATCCGGTTCATCGGAATGTCCCGGTCCAGCACAGGGTAGGGGGGACGCAGCCCTTCCCACACACAGCGCAGGCCTGGGGTTCCGGGGTTTTGCCTCGTTGGTGACTTGTTCCAACCCTGGCTGCAGGTGGCAAGCGTCCTCGGAGGGGACCACTTCCTACTCCGTCCCTTGTGCAGGTGGGCCTCCCCAGCCGGGTCCAGTCACGTAGCCCAGAATCGTCCGTGTCCACGCAGAGGCCCTGAAACCCCACCGAGTGAGAGTCGAAGCCCCTGACGGTGTCGCTGTTCTCCGGGCCCCCCCTCCTTCGGCCCCCGGACACCACCTTGAAACCTCACTCTGCTTTTCCAGCCCGCAGATTTCCTACTCCTGTGCTGAGCTTTGCTACACATTAACCACGTGTGCTTGCCCGGCGGCAGCGTGCGGGGTGGGGGCTGGAACAGGGCACTCAGCACACTTGTCTTGGGTGCCTCGTCCCCCCTCCTGAGCTGCAGTTTCGCTGCCTGCCATCAGCAAGAGGGGAGCAAAGACACGGGTGACCCACCAGGACGGCAGGGCTGCTCCGTCACCCACCAAGGCTGACAGAGCCCTAGTAAGTACAGGACGCACCGGAACCGGGGAAGGTGAGGCCTCGGCTCTCGGGGGCCTTACGGTCTTGTCGGGGGAACAGAAATACACATCAGAACTGGAACAGGGAACGTGACGGAAGGCCTGGGGCTACTTTACGTCCGGTGCTCCCCAAAGACTCCTCCAGGCTCGTGGCAATTTGAGCCGAGAAATGAATGGAAAAGCTAGCCGCCCACAGATGCTTCAGACAGAAGATGCCTCTTCAGCAAGGCACTTGGATCCGCTCAGGAGATCCGGGAACAGAAAGGAAGCAGGTGCCCTCGGAGCTCCGGAGCAGGGAGGGAGCTGGCGGGGCAGGGAAGGGGGCGGCCAGAAGTGGCTTCCGTTGTGTGTACCCGAAAGGTACCGAGGGCTTTGAGCAGCAGGTGACACGGTCTGGTCAGATGGGGCTTTCCACAATAGAAAAACCTGTGGGGTGTGCCTGCTGGTGGGTCTCGCCAGGCCCGAGGGGCCCCAGGGGGCTGAAGTTTATGCCGAGAAGAGAAGTCAACAAAGGGGGAGCCGGGGGACGGGAGTGCCCTGGGGGACCTTCTGACACACCGTCTTGTTTGATGACGAAGAAGGCTGAGCCCGGGCCTCGACCTCACAGTCGGCACAGTGGACGTGAACAGCGTGGGCCCGTGGCCCCCGTGGGCAGGTGTTAGCTAAGGCCAGGCCAGGCCAGCCTGCACGCAGTGGGCCTTCAGGGAATGGGGCCCCAGGGCCTAGAACCCTCTACTTCCTGGGAGGGTGGGAGTTGCAGGAAGCGGGTGAGGGTGGTCTGCAGTGGTCTATCTAGGGCGCCCTGTCCCACTGCCTGGGGACAGGGAGAAGCACCATCTAACTGAGCCACTCTGGAGGCCAAAAGCAGGGGTGACCTGCGCGGACGGGGAACAGACTGCTAGGCCCCGGGCCCCCATGTGCTCCTACAGTGTGGGGCTGGGGAGTCTACCTCCGACCCTTCCCTCCGCGGCCGGTCCCAGCTGAATGGTAGTGGGCTGAGACCCTCCTTGCGAGCACGTTCCCCCCCTGGGCACAGGCCCTTCCTGGGAGTGGCAGGTGCCAGGTGGGAGGGGCCAGGCAGGGCCAGAGCATCTGGGCCCACTCTTGCCTCAGACTCCGTCTGGGACTCAGCTTTACCCCACCCAGTCCTGAGAAGTTCCTGCTTTCGGTACAGGGCTGGGGTGCAGACCCCACCGCTCCTTAACCAGAGCTCTTGAGTACAGGGCCCGGCAGGGTGACTGGGGGCCCTGACCCCTTCCCCGGTCTCTCTGGGAGTTGAGCTGAAAGGGGATCACTCTGGGGGTTTCCAGCCACCTTATGAAATCCCAGATGCCCTTCTGTGCACCTGGGGGCTGGGCCCCAGATGGAGAGCGGCTGCCACCCAGGACGCGAAGAGAGGGAGGCCCTTGCCATCGCTGGGCCAAAGCCCCCATCCAGGGCAGCGGCGGGGGGAGGGGGGTTTGGCGGACACCGACGTCCACATGCCGGGTTTTCCCAACCCTTGGGGGACAGTGACTCCCCGGAAACTACCAAGGACGAAAGGCCTCTTCCCCTGGCTGCAACTTCCTCTTTCAGTGTAGAGGTCCAGACGCGGATGGGGGGACTGAAGAGTGGCAGGCCGCTCGGTGGCGGGGTGGTCTCCGAACCCCCTCCGCAGGCAGAAGTCTCTGACTGCCTCGCACCTCTACCCCCACCGCTGGCCCTGCCCCGGCCCCGCCGTGCACTCCCCACCTCCCCTGTCTCTTTCCAGTCCCCACCTCTCGGAGTCTCGCGGGGCCGGCTCCAGCCCGAGGTGTCCCGGGCACATCACTCAGGCTGGACCCAGCGGCTCGCCTGTGGCCCACATGGCCCACTCGATCTGCCCCATAGCGGCGGAGGCGACGACAGCTCGGCGGACTCCGCGGCAACACTGCGGCCTGCGCTCCTTCCCTGCCGCCTCCAGGCGGCCCTGCCCTGCTCCCTGCCCCCGGCGGCAGACCCCACCCCCGGCGGCTCCAGGCCCCGCCCCTCAGGGCAGAAGGGAGCCCCGTTGGGGCCGGACTCTTCCCCGCCCCCGGCCTCAGGCCCCGCCCCTCCAGGCAGGTGGGAGCTTCGCTCCGGCCCGCCGGCCTCCCACCGCTCGCCCCGACAGCGACAGCCCAGACCGGAGCAAAGGCGGGCGCTGCCTGTCCCGGGCCTTCCCCCTGGGGGGTTGTCCCCTGCAGGCCCAGCCAGCCCGCCTTCGGGCCCAGGCCTCCCGGCTCACTTCCTCCTTCCAGCTCCTTCCGGGCGCGCGCGGGCGGGGGAGGCCACCACTTTAACCGGCCAGCTCCATGTCCGAGCATCACGTGGGCTGCTTATGACCAGGGCGATGCCTGGCAGGCTGGGCCAGGGGGAGCAGGCTGTGAGGTGGGTGTACCTGCGGACGAAGGCAGAGGCACCCCAGAATGCTCCGCCTCTCCTTGGAGCTTCCAGACCAAGGATCACGCAGGTGGCAACAGGGGCCTCTCCGGGAGGTGTGGGCAGGCTGCGTTCCTAGAAGGGTTTAAAGGCCCAGAACCTTCACCACGCCCACACAATGGATGCCCCGCGAGGGAGCAAGGCCTTCTTGGACGCCAGTACCTGCTCTAGGGACGGTGGCAGGCCCAGCCCCCACTTCCTCATCCGGCCCAGGCACCCCTCTGCTCACAGCGCTGACTGGAGGACAGAAGCCAAGCTTCCGAGAAAATCCAGATTGCAAGAGCCTGCCCCTTTGTCATCCCCTCCACACTGCCCCTTGAGGGTGACTTCAGCAGTGGCGGCCCCGGCCCCAGCCCCGGTCCCTGGTGGGAGAGGGGCAGGGGTTCTCCCAGGTGCCCAC